CTCCCAACCCCCCGCCTGCCGCGCCGCCCGCCCGGCGTCCACCCGCCCGCCGCACCCTGCCGATACCACCCCCCGCCGCCAACCTCGGGAAACCCGATGATCCGGCGACCCGGCCGCCCCCGCAGGGCTCTTTCTCGGTGGACATGACGTTCCGCGGCGACAAGCGCCCCATCACAACAGCGTGGCCGGCCGACGTCGTGGCAGACGTCCTCACGCGCCTGGACAACGCGGGCCTGACCTCGCCGCCGCCCGCGCCCGCCGCGGCGCCCGCGAGGACGGTGGCGGCCGCCTGATCGGCCGCCGGCGCCGTCGGCGCCGCAGGCGCAGGCCGCGGCGCCCATTTTTGAGGGGCGGGCGGCGGCCGCGGCCGATGGATGGGGTTTGGCGATCGGAATGGCCTTGCGATCGACGCAGGCCTGCGCGCAGCTGTGGGCCCCCCTGAAGCAGCCCTGCGGATTCCGACGCCGCAGCAGGAGGGCCGGGCGGGCATCGCGGCGGGGGCGGCCGGCCGCGCGCCGTCGCGCCGGCCGCGAGGGGCGCCCGTGGCTGGATCTAAGAGAACACGCTTGTGCCTTCGAACCGCGCTGCCAGCCCTTGTCTTCCTCAGCAGGCGCCTCTGTACATGCGCCGCGGCCGGCTGCCAGGCGTGCGGGGAAAGCAATCCCTGCCATGCTACTACCACAAACCCTCGCATGTCGTATGCGCCACCGCGGCGGGCGGCTCGGCCACCCCGCCGACCCCAGCATCCTTTTCTGGGCGCCGAGCGCCGGCCGCCTTTCGAGCCCGCAGGCGGGGCGGCAGCGCCATTTTGGCCCCCCCAGCGCAGCAGCAGCGTGCTTCGCTTTGCATTGCATGCACAGCACGTCGGCCGGCACGCGCCCGTTGGCAGTCGCGCGGCCGGCCGGCCGCACACATTTTGAAGAGCGCGCTCACACAGCACCAAAGGACTTGTCGGACCCGATCCCATTTTTTGAAGAACATCTGTCGCAGGTTGAAACGAACGCGGCTTGCGGGAGCCGGGCCCGTGGGTGCCCGCCACTTGCTGCCGCGCTTTGCATGGTTGAAACGGCTGAACCCCAACTTGCTTTGGCAGTAAACGAATTACGTCGAAGGCCCCCAAAGGGCCGTTCACATGGGCCCGCGGTGGCTGAGAATGCGAAAGGGGGTGTTAGGAGCGCGCGTCTGGATTTGCAGCAAGGCTCGTGTTGTTAGAAGTGGGGCGCGGCGAGATCGCACGCGTGGTGGAGCAGTTTCTTGCTAGGGACGGGACAGTCACGGCCGTCCAGACGGGCCTGCCTGGGGAGCCAGGGGGACCAAACCGTTGGCAGACCTCCATCACGTCCTGCTGGCTGACGGGGGACGCGGCCAGCGACTCAGACAGACAAATCGCGTGTCCATTCTGCTGCCTCCTGCTACATTCGCACTCACATGTGCGCGCGTGCATGTGTGTGTGTGTGTGTGTGTGTGTGTGTGTGTGCGCGCGCGCGCGCGCACGTGCGCATGTGTGCATGTGTGCAAGCGCGGCCCCACGCATTTCAGTACAGCTGTGTGCAACGCATCAGTGAGTCAGTCACACCCATCTTACTGTCCCCGTCAGCCAATCGTGGCCAATGGCGGAAGCCGTGTCTGTTGTACGCTTCGAAGCCTGTTCAGAATTTGATCGACTGATGCTCAGACGTTCCGCGCCTGGTCGCATCCCGCCTTCCATGTCGCCTCAAAGCGTTGGGCTGCTGCTGCAACCCATACAGCAGTGTGCTGTAGCACAACAGCTGCCATTGTTCCTGCCACCAATCACCATGCCATTGCGCTGCTGCCTGCCCTCCAACAACCATGATTCGCAGCCTGGATGCCGAATTCTGTCGATTCTCCTTGTGCAAACGTTAGTCCTTACAAGCAGTGTTGTGTGTCTCTCAACCCCCAAATCGCAGTTTTGGATGCACAGGCCATAGCCGCAGGGGCCAGGCGGGGCGACACCGCCGTCGCGTGTGGCGAAAAGTTAAGGCGGCGCGGCGCAAAGTCAGCGGTAGAGATAAGGCGCGCCTGCGAGTGCGCGGCTGCAACGCATCGATTCGCGCCGCGCGAAAAGTTGCGCCTGATTCAGATGGCGTCGGCGCGCTTGGTGCGTGGCAATCACAGTCCAGCACGGCGCACGTGGACGTGCGTGCGAGGTGCTCATGCACGCATGAAGCAAGAAAGGGTTTCAGCTGATGGCAGCCGGCGGCCGCCCTACGAGCCAAGTCAACAGCAGAGAGACGCGGGCGAGGGGCGGGGCTGCCAGGGGGCGCGGCGGCGGGCGCGTGCACAGCCGCCGCAGACGGGTAGACGGCCGCGCCACGGGGCGCGCCTAGCACCGCGACCGGCCAGCCAGGCCGCACAGCTACCGGGCCCCGCACAGCTGGGCGCCCCTTACCCCGTCGCGGAACCGAGAGGCAGAGGCAGCAACAGAGACAGTCAATGGTGGGTGAGCGGCGGCGGCGCGGCTGCGTGCAGAGGCCGGGGCACTTGCGGACGGTCAAGCGGCCGCAGCCCTCCTCAACGCGCGCCAGGCGCCGTGCGGCTGTTGTAGTGCGTGGCTGAGTCAGCGATTCCAGCAATTCCAAACTTCAGTCCGGGGCCAGCCGGCCGCGGCCCAGCACGCATGGCGTGTGCGCCCCGGCGCAGGCCCTGGTACTTGACTACCGATTCCCCCGCCGCCCGCGCCCACGCCACGGGCGCAGCCCCGGCGTGGGTCCTAGCCTGCTGCCTCTCGGCCCGCTAGCCCCGCGCCCGCACCCCCGCGGCGGCGGTTCCCTCGGTTGGTTGGTCTGCCGCCGTGGCGGCGTCGGTCGGTTGGTTGCCTGGAAGTCGCAGGGTCGGTTTCGGTGGAGATCTGGAGATCCGAGATCTAGATCCCGGGCTTGACGCCCTTGCCGAGGCCGTGGTCGTGGTTGTAGGCGCTGCCGCCGTGCTTGGACACGTCGAGACCGGCCTGCTCCTCCTCGGGGCTGATCCTGATCTTGTTGAAGATCTTGAGGACGAAGAACAGGAGGCCTGGGGGTTTGGGATGTTGGTGGGGTGAGAGTGAGGGTGAGGGTGAGAAGGCCCAGGGCCCAGAGGGGGGCGGGCGCTACGCCGCCAGACGGCGCGACCAAGGCTCAAAGTCACCCAATCGGGACCTTGAAAACAGCCGATGACTTGAGCACCCCCCTGTTTCGGCATCAAGTTCAGCCAAGAAACTTCATGGCTCCTCGCCACTCACCCGACCAGAAGCAGGTCCAGGCGCCGACCACCAAGATGCCAACCACCTGGCAGCCCAACAGGTTGCCGCCGCCGCCGGGGTAGAACGCGCCGTACTTGCCGTTCAGGTAGGCCTGGGCCACGTAGTGGGGCGCAGCCAGGAACCCGGTGACCAGCACGCCCCACGCGCCGCACACGCCGTGCATCGGCGACGCGCTGAGCGGGTCGTCGATGCGCAGCTTGAGCCACAGCCAGCAGGTCGCGTCGAAGATGAGCGCGCCGACGCCGCCGGCGATGAGGGCCGCCCACGGCTCCAGCACGGCGCAGCCGGCGGTGATCGACACAAAGCCGACGAGCGCGCCGTTGCAGACCGAGATGAGATCCCACGAGCCGGTGCGGACGAGGCCGGAGAGCAGCGCCACGACGGCGGCGGCGGAGCCGGAGAGGGTGGTGGTGACGGCGGCGCGGCCAGAGGTGAGGTACAGGTTCTCGGAGGAGGCAGCGGTGGTGGCCACAATGTTGAGGGTGGACCCGGGGTTGAAGCCGTACCAGCCGAACCAGAGCAGGACCGTGCCTGGGATTGGACGCGGAAGGTGGAGGGGCGGGGCGTCAACACTTGGGACTGGCCGTGCTCGCCACCCAGGGGGAGCGGGATTCCCGGCTGCTGCGTGCGCAGCGGCGGAGGGCGCCCGGGGAATTGGGGGGTTGCGGAGGGGTCGGCGTTTCGAGGGGGGACTTAGTGGCTCACCGAGCACGACGAGGGTGGCAGAGTGGCCGGGCATGTCGACGGGCTGGCCGTTGGAGTCGAAGCGGCCGAGGCGGGGGCCGACCAGGATGCAACCCATGAGGCCGGTCAGGCCGCCCACCATGTGCACGACGGCAGAGCCTGGGTCGGGGGAGGGGGGCGGGATTGATGTGTTTTCAGGGGGAGGGGGCGCAGCGCGGCGCCACCAGGCCGTGAATGCAAGGGGCGCGCCGTGGAGCGCCCGCGAAACCTCCTACTGGCCGCTCTCGCCGGGGAGCCGTGGAGGATTAGCAAGCGAGCGGCTTGGGACCAGCCGGCCGCCGCTCACCGGCAAAGTCGATCATGCCGGAGCCGGCGAGGGGGGCGGTCGTGTTGAACGCCGAGAGCCAGCCCCTGGGCGCCCACACCCAGTGGACCACCACAGGGTACACCCAGGCGCTGATGAGGATAGTGTAGGCAAAGTACGCGTTAAAGTTGAAGCGCTCGGCGACGGCGCCGGCGGGGATGGTGGCGGCAGTGGCGGCGAACGCCCACTGGAAGAACCACTCGGACCAGCGGCCCTTGCCGCCGGAGGGGTTGCCGTTGGAGTACCTGCGGTGTAGATGTGCATGTGGTTGCTATGTCAGGGACATGGGCGGGCTGGGGCTCGTCGTTGCTGTGGTTCGCGGCCGTTGATGGCTGAGGCGAACGGGGCTCAACGCGCCCGCAGGGAACCGCGAGGCGCGCGCGCGGTTGCGGGCAGCTGCGGAGCGGGCAGTTCAAGGGGATGCCGCTGGGCGTGGCGGTCGGGAGGGAGGGGGGACCGAGGGGCCCCCCAAGCGGAGGGGCAGCGACCAGGTGCGCACCAGTCGACGAGGGCGAAGGTCCAGTCGCCGATGAAGGGGTTGCCGCGGCCGACGTCACCGTAGGCAAACGCCCAACTGAGGAGAGGGCGGAGGCAAGGGGAAGCAAGGGAAAACTCGTGTGAGCGTGTGTGCGTGCTCTTATGTGCATGTGTGGTGAGGCAGGCGTAGAGACCCGCTCTGCAGAAACGCTCCCCCACCACACACAAACATGACTCGCAGGAACCATCGAATGACATCCCCTTGGGTTGTAGCGCCCCACCGAGCCGGCAGCCCCAACCGCAGCGCCTGTCGCAAAATGCCATGGGAGCGGCTGTGTCAGCGGCAACAACCCACACCCCCCCCCCCCGCGCGGGCGGCGCGACCCACCCGCAGATGTACCAGCAGATGCCGCTGACCGCCGCGTCCAGCACCGTCTGCAGCAGGATGTTCATTGTGTTCTTGCTGCGGATGGCGCCGGCGCAGAGCATGGCGAAGCCGGCGTGCATGATGAAGACGAGGGCGCCGGCAAAGGTGAGGAAGAAGGTGTTGACGCCCTCGTTCACGGCGGCCAGGTTGGTCGCGAGGCTGACAGAGCCTGCAGTGGAGGGGGGAGGGCGGCCGAAGGTGTGTTGCGGGATGAGGGGGCCGATGCCGCAGGCGTTGGGGAAGGCGGCGGGGGTCAAGGGGAGACGAAAGAGCGGATGGCGTGGAACCAGGAGGGGAGGGCCCGCAAGTGTGCGGGTGCAGCAAGACCGGGAGGAAAGCTGTGCTGAGGGGTGATGGGGGGAGGGGGGTACGTGAGGAGATCGGCACCGCGTGCGCGACCGGGGAACGCCGCGCACCATCTGCGGTGCCGGCGACGGCGAGGCGCTCGCAGAACGACGCCGCGGTGGTCGCGTTCTTGAAGAGGGCCGTCAGGGCGGCCAGCTCCCCGTCAGAGCAGAAGGTCGGGACTGATGTTGCCATTTCTGGAAGAAACGAAAGGGAGGCGGGATAGGTAGGGTGAGGGGG